GAAGTCCTAATCTTCAATATCTCAGTTTCTGACCTTATTTGGGAATGAAGTTGTTACAACTTTAATTGACTAAGTTAGGATAAAGTCATTCTGGAGTAGGATGAGCTTTTAATCCAATATGAAGAGAGTCCTTATGAAAAGGGGAAGTGTGGACATACATATGCAGGGAGAAAGCCATGCAAAGATGAAGGCAAAGATTAGGATGAGGGAGTAGAAAGCAATGGGGGCCAAAGATTGCCAGCAAACCACCAGCAGCGAGGAGAGAGGCATGGTACAGACTCTCTCTTAGAGCCTCAGAAAGGGCTTGTCTTTCTGATACTTAAGAGTTTTGACATCCAGAGTCCAGAAAGTCTGTTTGAGCCATTCATTCTGAGATATAGTTATAGCAACTCCAGCAAATCAATTCAGCTCTTACACACAAAAAAAACAACTTATACACACCTTTCTCAGTTTAGGATGCTATCTCCCTTAATAAGAAAGAAAGTTCACTTATACCTTTCAACATGGGGCCAGCCTTCCTCAAGGGACCAATAGCTCCATAGGTATCCAAAACCCTATGAAATGACCTACGTATTGGCCATCACTTCTCATATTTTCCTTGATATCTTAAATAAAAAATCAGAACAAGTTTTAATATGTACAAATATAATTGTGGACACAGTCAGGCAGAGTAAATTGGGGTAATTTAGAAACATTTACACAAGCTATACATAGGAGCTATACCAAGAAGTGTAAGCCATGGCAATGATAATTGGAATGGACAGAAAAGGAGGTATTTAAAAATTGAAAAACAGAACAGATAACATGTTTGACATATTTAATATGGGAATAAAAAAGAAACAGGAATCAAAGATGGCTTCCAGGTATTTTATTTGTCCATAAAGGTAATAGCAGATGGAGATGTGACGGTAACGGGTATAAAAGTGTAATGGATTTCTTGAGAATGCTAATGGAATACTTGAGAATTTTGGAATACTGTTTAATGTATTCAGGAAGGGAGAAAGACTTATAGGCATTTGAAAATGTTGGGCATGAGATCAGAAGTAGTATTTAGAAATAATACTTATAACAATATCAATAAAATAATATCAATTTATTGAGCACATGCTATGCTGAATATAGTCTCACAGCTGTTTGAAAGACACTAAAACAAACAAAAAAAGAGGCATAGGATACAGCAGACTTCTCCCAGCAGGGACAAATTTCCCTGGCTCTTAACAGCCCACAGAGGCCTCCACTAACGATGGTTCCATTTAAATAGGTAGGGATTCCTTTGGGCATCCAGTGCACCAATGCTCCCTTTGTTATTCTCAGGACTCAGCCCCACCCCACCAGGTGGTCTAGAGATGCACTTTTTTTTTTCTCTCATTGAGTTTATTGGTACATTTTAGATTTACAGTACAGTTACATTCATCATTGGGATCTTGTACCTTTACATGACAGGTCTTGGTGCTCATTTTATTCCCTTGTCCCTGCCCTCCCTTCACCCCCTCCTCCCCTCCCCATTTATAAACATTTTATTTCCATTTTTTCATTTTATCCTATTTTTTTTCTTTCCCTTATTCCCTTTCCCCTACCATTCCAACTTTCCCTACACCTTTAGCCCTTTTCTTCCTATTTCACATTGTCAATTATCTCATTAGGATCTTATGTACTATTATAGTTTGTTCACACCAGACAAACTATTTGGCATTTACACATGTGTGACTTATTTATTTCACTTAGGAGTATACCCTCAATATGTATCCATTTTCCTATGAATGAATCTAATTTCTCATTCTTTATGGCTGAGTAGTATTCCATTTTATAGAAAAACCATATCTTCTTTATCGAGTTTCCAGCTGATGGGCAAATGGGCTGTTTCCAAGCAATAAAGTAGGAAAGAAAGAAGTTAAACTATCATTATTTGCTGATGATATGATACTCTACACATTGAAGACCCCAAAAATTCCACCAAAAGACTCCTAGACTTAATTGACACTTTTAGCAGAGTAGCTGGATACAGGGTCAACACTCAAAACTCAATAGCCTTCTTGTACACAAATAACAGACTCACTGAGAGAGAAATTAGGGAAACAATTCCCTTCACAATAGCATCCAAAAAAATGAATTATCTAGGAATCAATCTAACAAAAGAAGCAAAAGACCGCTACACTGAAAACTACAGCACTCTGAAAAAAGAGATCAAAGAGGATATAAGAAAATGGAAAGATATCCTCTGCTCCTGGGAAGGAAAAATCAATATAGTGAAAATGGCCATACTACCAAAACTGCTATACAGAATCAATGCAATGCCAAATGAAATTCCAACACTATATTTAACAGAACTACAAAAAAGGATCCAAAAATTCATTTGGAACCATAAGAGACCTAGAATAGAAAAAGCCATCCTAAGCAACAGACACATGGCAGCGGATATAACAATTCCCAATTTGAAACTATACTACAAAGACACTGTGATGAAAACAGCATGGTACTGGCATAAAAACAGACCTGAGGATCAGTTGAACAGATTGGAAGACACAAAAACAACTCCAGATGTACTCAGCTACGTCATCTATGACAAAGGAGCTGACCATCCCCACTGGAGAAAGGAAGGCCTATTTAATAAATGGTGTTAAAAAACTGGATCTCAGCCTGCCAAAGATTAAAACTAGACCCTTATCTGTCACCATGCACTAAATTAAAATGCAAGTGGATTAAAGATCTAAATACTAAAACAGAAACACTAAACTTGCTGGAAGATAAATTAGGCAGAACTCTTGAAGACATTGGCATAGGAAAAGACTTTATGAACAAATCCTTAGTAGCATGGGAACTAGCAGAAAGAATCAACAACTGGCATCTCATCTTATTAAAAAGCTTCTGCACTGCAAAAGAAACCATCAACAGAACTAAGAGACAACCTATAATGTGGGAAAAACTTTTTACCAGCTGCTCCTCAGACAAAGGACTATTATCAAGAATATAGAAAGAACTCAAAACAATCAGCCCCCCCAAATATAAAGACCCAATTCAAAAATGGGCATCTGAAATGAACAGACATTTCTCAGATAAAGAAGTAAAAGCAGCAAGTAAATATATGAAAAAATGTTCACATCACTGGTCATTCGAGAGATGCAGATGAAAACAACACTGAGATTCCACCTCACCCCACAAAAAATGGCTGCTATCAAGAAATCACTCAATAACAAATGTTTGTGGGGTTGTGGGGAGAAAGGAACCCTTCTCCATTGTTGGTGGGAGTGCAACCACTATGGAAATCAATATGGAGATACCTCAAAGAGCTTGGACTGGAGCTTCCATTTGACCCAGCCATCCCTCTGCTGGGTATCTTTCCAAAAGAATTAAAAGAATCATATCACAGTGATATATGTGCACCAATGTTTATAGCGGCACAGTTTGTAATAGAGATCAGCTTTGAGTCTTTTTGCCCCAGGGCAAAGAAGGGGTTGTACTCCCAGCACTTTTGTGGTGTATGGGAAAATTGAAAGTTGATTTTCCAGATAATTTTTCCCACCTGATAGCTATTTCTGCAATTCCTATCTTGGTCAATAGAATAGAGCACACAATACCAAGTCCCCTGTAAAGGCATTACTTATTAAGGATGTGGTGGACCAAAAAAATAAAATAAAATAAATGGCACTAACTTTTGCCACTCCTTTAATCTACCTTGAGTTTGAAAGTGCAGAAAATTCATTCTCTGTGCCTCTTTGATCCTCAGGATGTTCCTGGTAATAATAATGATGGCAAATTTCCCTACTAATTGTTTAAGGAGGTAAAAGAAGGCAAGTTAGTCTCCAGGTATTACCTGAATAGGTAGATTCAGATCAACATTATAGCAATTCTTCCCTGGGACTCAGACTCAATCTTCTGGTGACTTTCCCCGATTTTTATTTTCCAGAAATCGAACTTACAACTCACTTTATCAGAAAAGAGGACTTTCTTATTACAAACTCATTTACTCTCAAAACCTATTTGTTTGCACAGGAATCCTTTTTTTTTTTCTTTTATGCCAGTAATTGAACTCAAGACCTTGCACGTGCCAGGAAGATGCAGCATCCCTGAGTTAAATCCCCAGCCTAACATGAATATTTTGATTTATTTGCTTTATGTAACCTTAGGGCCCACCTACTCAAAGTGTGGGTCCTAGTAGCTTGTTAGAATTTGGGATCCACCACCTCAGACTTATCTTTTAGAAAGATCTCAGGGAATTATAACATTAACATTTGACACACTAACATTTGACAAGCACACTTTCAAGTTCAGTATCCAAGTTCAGTAACCTGAGAAATTAGAACATTTTAACAACCAGGAGTGACAACACAAGTTCACTAACTTTTGGTTAATCACTAGGTTTTCTAATGAAATTTTTCACATCTTTGTCTTTCAAGTCAAGATCAAGAAGAACTTTCATAAACCCTCCATGGAAACAAGTAACTAGATATTAGGTTTGCACTTTGAGGATATAAGTTAGATATCCAGATTTGTGGTGTCCCATACAAATGTATGTGTCTAAAATTCTACTAAGGTTTCCAGGTAGTTCTTTAAAATGCAGGGCGGAATTTTTTCTGAAAAGAACATACTCTCTGGTTAAGCAACTAAAATCAGTGGAATCATTGAAAACCAACACGCATGATCCTTTTGCTCCAGATATATTTATAGGATTTGAAGTATTTTTCATCAACAGCTGAGAAACCAAGAACAACCAGTCACAATGTAAGTGAATAGGCAAGGAAAATAATGGGTACCAGGATCAGTGCAACTAAAATATAAATGAGGAGAAAGATGAATACTGTGAGATGCAAAATATCAGACACTGAGTAGTTTGACAAGAGAAGTGAGTTCCATGTATATGCCCCTGGAAAATTCAAAGGCTAAGATCTTGTTATGATTCTACATAGATGATAGAGCATCAAAGTATCTAAAATTAAAAAAAAGAAGCAGGAACAAGAATCTTAAGATTGTGCATTTTATAACATTTATCAGAATTTACTTACTAAAAGGACTGGAAGAAGTCGGCATTTTGGTTTGACCGTAGGAGTTACAGGGGCCTCCAAACTTCTTGCTGTGGTCCTGCCAAGAGAAACCCATCACTTTTTAGCAATTTTTCTCATACAGGACAGGGTTGAGCCTAAAGACATTCATATAAATGCCAGTGGTGTCAAGGAAATATCTTCAAGACGGAATACCTTCATGAGTTTATATCTTGAGGAATCTGTTGCTAGGAATGTTCCTTAAAGAATACAAAACTTTTCAAGGTTCTGGAATAAGAGTGATATATGAAACTGACTCCTTTTAGGGAAGAAGAATTTGTGAGGCCTTGTGAAAATTTAGATTCTGATAATTAAAGTTATCTTGGAAAAAAAAGTTAAAGATTTGAAACTTTGCGACCTATATCTTTGATGTGCAATTACTATTTCATTTTCTGCACTTTCTCTTTAACATCCTGGTCTTTTAAAATAAACACATTCAGTGAGGGCTGATGAGGTAGCTTAATGGTACAGTACTTGCCTGGCATGCACAAGGCCGTAGGATTAATCTCCAGCAGTGAGAAAGCAAACAAAATGAAATTAGAAAATATATTCACCGAAGAGTAGAAACTTTAGTACTGACAAGTCACTTTGCTTGAATAGATGTTTTTATGTTAAGTCAATAGGCACATTAAAGTTGGATTTCCAGCTGTGAGCAATATTTATCTCACTACAAAATGGTTACAATGTGCTGTGTGAGATCATGTGCTTCTTTTAGAAAAGGACATTCCTTTTATAAAGTGTCAATTGAAAACTTATTTTCTTTTTCTGACCTTTGCATTCATTTCATGACTAAAATAGATATCTTAAGTTAATAACTATAATGCATTTCAAACACCTTTGAATATCAATATTATCTATTACTTCTATAGATGATTAATTTTGTTTTGAATCATCATAGCCCTCCTCCCATTTAGTCATTTTTAGTTTATGATTAGAAAAATACCAGCACACATGTAGATTACATATATAGCCATAAAAGTACACAATATGTGATTATATGTCAGAAATTCCCTGAGAAAATAGTTACTTGAGTATGTAAATTTCTGGTATTTTATTTTTGATATTCTGACTCTCAATATTTTAGGAATAGGTATTTATATAATCACTTGAGTCATTCATTTACTTTTGGTGAAAAATAACTGGAGACTGGGATAATTTTGTGATATTACACAGTGACCCTCAAATTTCAGTGTGTTCAATGTGTTGGAGTCAGAACCAACATACTAATTAGAACAGATAAACCTTAATATGAAGAGTTATTAACTACTAATAAGATACAACTATGAAGGGTAAAAAGAACTCTAAAGAAAATAAGAATGGCAAATCTAGGGATCGGCCTTACCAACAGTTGAAGTGGAGGACATAGGGAGTGACATATTTGTAACAGCATTCGTCCTTCCCCTGTATCACCACAGCAGAGACAAACCTCTTTGGAGAGGAAATAATTCAGGTTGCCAGATGCTACTGAGGTGACAGCCCAGGGAGGACGAGCATCCCATGCAAAAGCATCTGCAAAGCCTGTAAGGTGACTGAAGAACTTAACAGGTATACAAACATTAGGATACTTATACTGCTTTAGTAACTTCTGGAGTTTTAAGCAAGATTTTATAGATGCTATAATAATAGGAAAATATGTTATATTTGTGTTAAACTTTACATAGAATATTTTATATGCTTTCTCATTTAAAACTCAAGCCTAACCTGGAAAACTTAGTGACCTAGTAAGATCTTGTCTAAAAATTAAAAAAACAAAAAGCCTTCCCCAGTTGAGTTGTATGCTTACAAAGATTCAGGCATGTGTGTATGCATGTTTCCAAATCCCTTTATTTCAATTAAACTTGTTCTAATTACAAAATTTAAATTAAGGGAATGTAAAGCTTTGAAATAGTGTAAAGAGAATATTGTGTATAAGAAATAAAAAATGAAAATTTCTAATGCCAACAATCTGGAAAACAAAGTAGCCTGAAAATTCTTCTGAGTTTGTATTCATGCTAATTAGAATACAATAGAAATTCTTAGAAATGTATAACTATGTTTATGAGGAAATAGAAACCTTTAGGTCCCAGGGACAAAGAGGGAGCCATAAATCAAGAAGTATGAATTGTTGAGCGGGAGAATTAGCTCAGTGGCACCTCGCCTGCCTCAAATGCTCATTAAAGTTGGATTTCCAGCTGTGTGCAATATTTATCTCACTACAAATATGGTTACAATGTGCTGTGTGAGATCATGTGCTTCTTTTAGAAAAGGACATTCCTTTTATAAAGTGTCAATTGGGGACCTGAGTTTGATCCCTGGTACCACACTCCCCCACCAAAAAAAAAGAAAAATAGAAAACAAGTATGAATTATAGACAATGCTAAGCTTTCCTGAAGGTTGGACAGGAAAGCTTTAATACCTACAAGGGAAAGGAAATGAGAATTGGTCCTTTATAGCCACAGTTTGAACGAAAACTTTCCTGGAGCCTAGATTTTGAAAGCCTGTGACTTGGTGAACTAAAAAATAATCCGTACCACAACGCAGTGGGATGATGAGAAAGTGTATGTTTGTGACTGAAGAGGGGGAAAAGAAAAGAAAGAAAAATCTCTGAGAACCTGAAACCCAGGATTTGAAATTTGAACATCCCCATGGTGTGAGCAACACTGCAGCCACTGAATTAAATAAAAACTGTTGTGAGTGGATGACTTTCATTGGGTACTGCACAGAGGCAAAGGTAAAGCCACTTTAGATACACACCTTCACCCCTCTTTTGGAAGATTTTAGGAGATCAGCTCACAATCCAAGGTTGCAAAACAGAAGAGAAAATAGCATACCATGAATGAGTCACCTGGCATAACAAATAGGAGAAATGGTTACACAAACTTTCAGGTGATAGGACACTCAATGGAAATGATAAATACAAAAGAAAGCATTAAAATGATAAAAATCAGATATAATGAAAAACCCAACGTGTCTGCAAATAAATCAAATAGAAACCCCAGGAATGCTATTATAGTTACAGGGGAGGAGGAAGCAATGAATAAATTGCAAGGGGACTGCTTAATGTAGGGTGATAGTTAACCACTTGCATCAACTCAAGTAAGAAATGCCCAACTACATGGGTCAGCATAGTTCTGGGTGTGGCTGAAGGGGATTCTGAAGACAGAAGACCCAACCTGGGTGTGAGCGGCGACGTGGCTAAAAGGGAAATGAAGAAGAAAGGCTGGCTTCTGTTTCTCTGGAGGAGACTTCGTCCTCACCTTCACCCTGGAAAAAGACTCCAGGCTTCCAGTGCAGGCCCTTCAGCCTCCTGGTGGTGACTCACGTGGGAGTACAGTGAGCTCTGGGCCTTCAACTGGATCCTTTGGATCTCCACTGTTCAGAAAGCCCTCTTGCACTCTTCTGCACCTGATGTGACTGTAAGTCACTCTTGTAAATTTTTATATATTTGTATATCTTACATTAAATCTGTTTTTCTAGTAACCACTGACTGATACATGTAGTTTAGGTTTTTAGTTTCTTTCTTTTTTTTTTTTTTTTTCCTGTTCAAAACTGTGGGTTGAACTCAGGACCTTCACACTGAGCTAATTTCCAGACCTTTTTATTATTATTACTATTTTAAATTTTGAGACAGGGTCTCATTAAATCACTCTCATAAGTTACTCATGCTGGGCTTGAATTTCCTGCCCTCCTGCGTCAGCTTCCCAAAGTGCTGGAATTACAGGTGTGCTCTACTATGCCTGTAAATTTGAATTGTGGACCAATATAGCCGTGTTAGCTAATGAACTCATACATGGCAACTTTTCTTCCTTCTCCTGTTTTCATGTTCTTCATATGGCATGATTACACAGTGAAGTAAAGATTATTCCAAGTAGTGTATGCTATTGAGGTTTTAAAAGCTTAGTCCATTGTCCTTGGGATCCAGACATCACAAGATGTATGCCAGATAGGAAAGAGTATTGCCATTTCAGAACATATGGAATCCAGTAGCATTCTACAAAATTATAGAGATTCATGCTCACACAGGGTGTGTGATGAGTGGTATCACTATGACGCTAAGATTTTAACTGACATAGATATAATGGAAATCTGGAACTGTTGGTTTCCTGCAATGAGACGGAGACTGGAAAATTTGATACTGGCTATGTCCAACTCATCTCTGCATTTTGGACAAGACATTGAAGCTCCAGGTGCTACTTCATATCCCAGTAGAGTATTTTTGTTTGGAGAAGCTCTTGAGGAAGGACCCCAGCCATTTTATAAGGATATTTCAATAATTCTTATACAAAGCAATATTCAAGCAAGTAGATTTTCCTCAGATCATATGCAAAGTTCTGTTCAGAGTTTACCATATTCTATAGCTCTGAATAAAGCACTAAATATTTACTTCTTTTTTCTCCAAAAATTAGACCTAGCTGAAAAGTAATCAGCATGGAAAACTAGAAATCAAAAATACCAGTCCCAATCAGTCCATCTCTGCCTTACCTGCCTTGCAGAGGAGCCACCAAAGAAGAGAATAGTGATGGCAAATAAGGCAAGGAAAAGCTGATTGTGGCTGGCATCTCCGATCTCTAGTTTTCAAGGCTGATTATTTTCTGTTTAGGTCTTATTTTCAGGGAAACACAATTGTTGTTCTCAAAGGACATTGGTGAGAAGTTGAATGAAAATAATTAATTACTGTACAAAGGGAAGACTTTCAAATGGAGCATATAAGAAAGAAAATTAGAAATATCAAAGATAAAAAGAGAGGATCAAACATACTTCTAAAGAGCTCCAGAAAGAGAGGAGAGAGAATAGTGAAGAGGCCATACTTGAAGATGCAATGGCTGAGAATTTTCTTAACACACACACACATATTACACTTAACACACACACAGACTGAAGATGTAGTTGAGAAAAGTATATACAAAGCATATATATACTTTTGTTTGTATATACATACAAACAAAAAAAACAAGCAGAAAAAGAACTTCATAACTGGTGTAGTAAAGAATATTTTAAATAAGAAGAAATATAGAGAAAAGATATAAATAATTAATTTGTAGAGAGTGCTACTTGACTGGC